TATATGCAGTGACTTGTCTGTATGTAGATTTAGTTTGTAGATTCTGGTTTCTGCAATTAAGTTTTTATCTGAGTTTGCTTCTCTTGTATTTGCTAAAGAAAATAGAAGCCAGGTATGGTGGCACATGCCTGTAGTTCTAGCACTCTGGGAGGCTGAGATAGAAGGATCATAAGTCTGAGCCTAGCCTGGGCAACTTAACTTAGTAAAACCCTGTTTCAAAGTAAAATAAAGTAAAAAGATAGGGATGTAGTTCAGTGTTGGAGGCTCTGGGTGCAATACTTAGTACAGAAAGGAAGAAAGATACAAGAGCATGATAGTACTGTACTTCTCTTAGAAATGTGTAGGTTATGTTTCTGTTTTATCTAGCTAAGAATATTTTCATATTCCCTTTCACTCACACACACACACACACACATACACACAGTCCTTACCATCTGATCCAAAAGGATTAGATTTCCCAAAGGTCCTGCCATTATATTAATAGTATTATTTCTCTAACTTGAGGGACATTTCATCATCATAAATGAGTCTAAAAAGGATTGTATGATTACATTTGCATATACAGTATCATGTGAACTGTAGTGAAAGGAGCTTCACATGAAACTGCCCAAAATCAATTGTGTGAATCTTGGAAATTGAAAACTATGTATTATCTTAATATGTGCTCTAACAACACTAGTAACATCTGAGGCCTGATAGCTTGCGTGGAAGGCTGTCCTGGGTGTTGTACCATGGTTAGCAGCATCCGAGCCTCTTCCCACTATAGACCAATAGCATCTTCCCCTAGTTGTGACAACCCAAATTGTTTCCAGACATGGCCAAGTGTCCCCTGGGGGACAAAAATGGTGTCCAATTAAGACTTGACCTTATTATATAATCTTTCTTAAGTCTTGCCTCTCTCTAGGTGTTAATCAGACGCATGCGTGGAAATTTCTCCCTCTCTATCTCTCTCTCTGTGTCTCTGTCTCTGTCTCTCTCCCCCCCCCAATCATCATCTTCCCTTTAATTATTCTTTCTCTTGTGAAAGATGAAAACTTCCATTATGTCTCAGTTATTTTTCTCTTCCCTTCACTCCTAAGTTAAAAGTACTCAGGAGAGGACTAGCACAATTGTCAAGGTAAATGCATCACTTGGGTCCTGGCCTGCTTCACTGGTTCTGCTCAGCTGGAGCTGGTGGAATTCTCTGGACTCTCACAGCTCTTATGGACAGCTTCACAAGGCATCATCTGGGTATGTGGGGAGACTCAGTGTTCCTTGGGCCTTTCTATCACTCTGACCCACTCAGGCACAACTTTAATAACTAAGATTGAAGTGAAGTAGCTCCTCTGGGTATGCAGACTGGCTGCTACACAGTTACTTTCGATTCTGAATGAGGCCTGTGCCCAGGAGGTTCAGGTGCTCAGTTCTGAGTCCTCAGAACTGTGCAAACTCCAGTTGCATGTACATTCAGCTAGAGGCCTCAAGCCCAAGTGTTTCTGGGTGTGCTTCCTTTAAATGGTTTTCCTCCCAAGCTGTGTCAATACACTTGGCTGCTCTCTGGTCCCCTTCTGGTCTCAGTTCTCCTTTCACATGCTGAGGGTCTGGTTTTATTATAAACATATGTTCACGTAACACTGGTTGCCATGGCAGTGTGGATTTCTTAAAGTATTCCTTCCTCTTGCTTTCAATCCCTGATGTTTCTTTTATTTGTGTTACTACAACTCTCAAAAATCTCTCATTTTATACAAAAAGATTAAATTCTCCCGAAGTTATTTCTTTCTCTATTATAAGAAGCACACTGACTAATCTTCTGGCATGGCATTTGTAAATTTGTTGAGCATCATGTGCATGCTTAATTTGTAGTGTTTTAATAATTGTACTTAGAAAAATCTCATAGGTTATAAGATCATCATCAATTTAACTTGCATTTCTAACTGCTATCTTTCTGTTCTCCCAACATACTCCCTGATTTATTTTTTAAAAAGGAGGGTGGCTGGGAATGATTAGCACATGCTTTTAATCCCAGCACTTGGGAGGCTGAGGTGGAAGGATCACCTCAGGATGATCCCAAGGTCATCCTGGGCCACATGGTGAGACCCAGTCTCAAAAAACAACAAAAAAGAATAGTGAATGTGGCTCCCCTCATTTCTCCTCACAGTTTGATCTGGATTCGTGTGTATCATTTAACCAAAAATGCTTTTCTGCCAGGTGTAAAACCTTTCTTGTTGCTGTAATTCTTCCCAGTGATATCAATTCCACTCAAATTGGGGTCCATCAGAGGAAGACCACTGCATAACTGAATTGTTTAGTAATTACCAGCATCTTTATGTTCTTCGTGTGATTTGCCAGCCAGCTTTCCTTTCACTGTCTTCACACATTTGCCCATAACAACTCCCATCCTGCTAGACTACAAGAGCAAAGGTAGGCCAAGAGTCCTCACCAAATCAAAACCAGATGGACCATCTCCCCCTCGTACCCATGGAGAGCAGACTCACTTCCAGGTTGAGTGATTTATTCTGATTTTAGTTTGTCCAGTCTTAATAGTTTGTTTTAGTGATTATTAGTTTAAAAACTACCTTCATGAGAATGCCTGTGTAAAAGATATAAAAGAGGAAATAAACAGTGTGTCATGCTTATTTTCTTAAAATATCATCCTCTTAACCTATAAGTCAAAATTTCAGATTTCTAAAATCCCAAACTTCAGTTTAACTGACTCACACAGAGACATTAAAAATACCATTTTTCTAAAATTCAAATGTTAAAATTAAGAATTTAGAAAATGATATTTTATGTACAGTATTTACTATGACATTAAATAGCCAGTTCTTCGATTACAGAAAAAATTCAGCATGGTTTATAATAACTGTGTAGGAAAGTCTCTGTGATGTAAAGGTAAATGTGATGATACTGACCTCAGTACCTAGTTCAGTACAGGAGATTTAAATGGGAATTTTCTATCACAACAAGTAACTTGAAATTACACATACCTCTCTTCCTGCCTTTTTTTAATGTAGGATATATTTTACCTTTTACTTTCTATTTAAAGTAATGGGCAGAGCTATAAAGTGATTTTTTTAAATATTGATTTTTAGTGGTTATATGCTTTTTAAAAATCCTAGATGCAGTGAGATTTAGTATATTGGTTTTTATGGTAAAGAAAATTACTGATAATCTCAGTTCCTCTTATTCTAAAGAGTTTTGGTTTTAAAACTCATGGAAGAATAAAAGTACTGTTGTAACAGTGAAGGAAACTGGCCATCTCAGGAATTCTCCTGAGGGACTTTAAGTTGTCCTGCGATTGCAGGTCTAGAAAGTCACTAAATTGGAAGCCCCATTTACAATCAGTACATTGGAGTTCCTGGTTCTCCTTTGTCTCTACAAATTACTGAGCCAGAAATCCGATTGCTAGTATAAAAGAAAGAATAAATATACAGTGTAAGTACTAGAAACCAGAATACGTTTAAATTTTTCTCTCTTAAGCATCAAAAGGGAAAGGACAAATATTTACTGCTTTTGTTCTACAAGTTTTTAATGAAAATTATACAAATGTGTCAGAGCAAACTCTAGTGACTTTGAATACACAGCTCTAGATCTGTACAGGGAATTGCTATTACAGGTGTCTCCAATTTAGGAACAAAATACACAAGGCAATTAAAGACTCATGTGAACTTACTTTGAACTTCCTTTTGAACACTAAAGGAATTAGCATATGGAGAAAAATGAGTCTTTAAGCAGTTTCTAATGAAGTGGCAAGTTAGAGTTGAAGATCGTTTTCATTCAACTGTTTTTGTTTGGTTCTTATCTAAGATAATGCAAGTACCACGTAGGTAGAAATAGAAAATATGTCATAGCTCCAAAGGTGCTTTTGATTTTGGGAAAACAACATATTTTTTTTTATTTTTTTAAATTACAATGTATGCAGTGCACAATGTAATCCCTGTCATTTGTCTTACAAACAAGATTATATGGAAGAAAGAAATGACCACTAAGAAATGCCTGCCTCTGAAATACTTACTTAGCAATTGGAGACACTTGGGATGACTTACTAAACTATGCACTTCAGTTTTTCATCAATACGTAAATTATGGTTGTGATGATTAAAAAAGGACATACAAAGCATATAAACAGTGTGTGACACATCAGGGTTTACTAAGTGATACTGTGACACTATAACAATGCATTATCATTCATTTATTTCACAAAAATTAATAGAACATTTCTGCATGCCAGGTATTACCATTAATAACATTATTTATATTGGATACAAAAGCAAATAAATAAAATGTGATAAAGATGGACATCAGAAGGATTTTTTTTATTTATTTATTTTTTGCTCCGAATGCCTTCAGGGCAGGTTTGGCTGGCTTGAGTTGTGGGGAACAAACCACAGCAACCTGAGCCTGACTGCTTTGTTGAAGCAGCCACTTAAAGAACTGAGCTAAGGGGCAGGCCCCAAAGATGGACATCAAATGATAGTATAACATCTTTTTATTTTGTCAAAGCCTAATTAAATTTTAAGCATACTTACAAGTAAATTTGCTTAATAAATATAAGAATCAATGAATATTGCCTCTCCCAAATAATACCAAATAAATAATAAGTTATTAAACCTTGGATTTTGTATACTGTATTATTCATACACTTAGATAATACTTAAGTGAAGATATTTCTTCTTCATTTTTCTTTTGCTTTTTTCTTTTGCTTATTTTGAAAGTTTATCAAAATTACCAAGAAAACATACTTTTAGATGGACTTTTGTACTCTACTAAAAAGAAGACAAACCATAAGCCATTTGCCTCTTCAACCTATAGTTATAAAATATTATGTTCTGAACATAAGATCCACAGAAGAATTTAAAAAGAAAATAGTTGGTTTATTTCATGTGCAGTGGGCTCCTTCCAGTACACTTGACTTCTGCCTCTGGAAATCGCTGCCATCTTCACTTTCAGTAGTAAGAATTATAAATTTAGTTCTGTGAATATATATATTTTTCCCCAAGATGGAAAAAAATGCCTGCTGACAACCAAGATATGGCATGTAAATTATTTTCTTTAATGTCCCTAATAGCCACATGAACATTTTTCTATTCTGTGGTGTTTTTCCATCTGGAAGTCAATCATGTGGTTGTATATGTGGTGAATTAGATTTTGTAAAAAGATTACATAGTGTCTTCTTGAATGTTTTATCTAAGAGAAGAAATATAATGGGGTCCGTGCTACTTCTGGCTGAAGCAAGACAAGTGAGGATATTTTTTGTTTCTATTAAATAATTCAATTGCAGACAGTCCTTGCTTTGATGCAGAATATAAAAAATAGGTTTAAAAATACTGTAGGGAAGAAAGCAAACTACTAGTACAATCTGGATGACCAAAAGATGTCTTCTCACAGAATTGTAAGTCAAGTCTTTCTCCATAATGGATGTACAGGCCCTTATGTTTCTCAGATGTCTGACAAAAGAGTAGTACGAAGTTAGCACTACTAAAAATGAAAATCCAATGAACATGGTTCCAATGAGACCTGCAATCTGAGAGATCATGGCTCCCAGTTCCATCTTCCGATTGTAGCACCAGATTTCTCCTCCTTCTGTGGCCTCTACAACTGAGTAGTATATGATAATGGGAATAATTATGCCCAGTACAATGCCCCATATGTAAATGCACAGTTTTCTAGCAAAGGTGGGCTGGCGAAATTTTTTTAATAAGTGGCCATAAAATATTTTCTCATAGCATGAAGTTGTCTCTTGGGTGGAATCCTTTTTCATTAAAGTAGCATAGCGGCTCACAGCAATCCAACTTAAAATTAAGAGGCTGACAAACATACTTACATGCATTGATAAAGTTCCCAGAAAATTGACCACCCTGCATTCTGCAGATTGATATTCCCATTGGAAACCTTTCAGGAAATAGATACCCATGAAGGGCATGGCACTGCACACAAGTAAGTTTGCAGTCACAAGATGTGCCAAGTAGATGTGTGTGGATGTTTTCTTACCTATTTTTGTCAGAAATACCCACTGAGAGAGTGAGTTTCCAAAGAGACCAAAAATACAAAGAATGGTGTAAGTGACTGGTAAAGCTCTGGAAGTGATCATGGATGGTTGAAGGCATGTTGAGTTGTTACTCATTTATATAAGATCTTCTTGAATTTTGTCACAGGAGCTAGAACAGAATTACATATAGTTAATATTAACACTGTAAGTGGTATTTAAGCCAAACAGTAAAAAAAGCATTGGATGAAATAAAATAATAGCAAAATGTATTGAATGGAAAGAGAAAGTGTAGATGGCTTCTTACCTTTTCGAGTCACAATGTCCAGTTGTGATACAAGTAAAAATGTGCTTATTGTGATAGATAATGCTTTTTGTCTAAAAAACAAAAGTTGAAACAAATAGTTTAAGGTTTATGATTTTATGTGAGAGTAATTTATAGTTCTTATAAAGCAATATGTGATGACAAATTTTGTCTAGAAATGTAATTTTTAAAATGTAAAGCATAAAAAAAGTTTTAAAAATAGAATGTAAAGCATACATTAATAGTACATACTGGATCAAAGAGAAGTGTTACAAAAGTGTTTTGTGACCACATTAGAGGGGTAAGGCTTTTGATTAGCACACTGTATTTGTAAGTACTTTTTTAAATGGTGGCTTTTGTGGCTAGGTTAAAATTAATCTAATACAGAACTATTAAAAGAGTCACTGGGGCTGGGAGATGGCTCAGTAGAATAAGCGCTTGCCTGACAAGCACAAGGGCCTGAGTTCAATCCCCAGTTCCGCAAAAAAAAAAAAAAAAAAAAAAAAAAGAATCTCTTTGCATAGTTCAAAAATAACCTTAGTTCCACCTGAACAAAGCTCAGGCAGTGGCCTGAATTGAACAGAAGGAAAGCACAAAGACCAAGGACAGACTGAAATCTCAGGATTTAAAGACATCAGTAATTGTTCTTTTAAAATATCACACTTCAAAAATATTAAAATTATGGGTCATGCCTGGTAACACACATCTGTAATCCCAGCACTTAGGAAGGCTGAGGCAAGAGGATCACCCTAAGTTTGAGGTAGCCTGGACTACATAGTAAGTTCAAGGCCAGCCTAAACTACTGCAGAGCAAGACTCTGTCTCAAAAAAAAAAAAAAAAGAAAAAGAAAAAGAAAAAAAGTGAGGGTTCTGGGGATGTAGTTCAGTAAGAAGGCACTAGACTTAATCTCCATTACTGGAGGTGGAAGTTAAAATTGTACTCAGAATTCTAGTTACTATGCTTGTTAGGTAGAACCCCCCCTCCAACTGTGTTCTCATTTGTAATTTACTGCTCTCTGGTTTTGGGGGTTTTCCAATAGAAAAAGCCCAGAGAGCACTAAATGGTTTATCTATCAAAATACTGTGTTTCTTTTTTCCCTCCAAAGTATTAGAGATTGAATTCAGGGCCTTCGCACTGAGCTACATCTCCAGCCCTCCCCACCTCTTTTTTAACAGTGCCTCACTAAAATGTCTCAGTTAAGTTTGAATTTTCTATCCTCTTACTTAAGCCTCCCAGCGTGCTGGGATTATAGCTGTGCACCACCATGCCCATTTCATATGATTCTTTATTTGTTTATTTAGAGATACGATGTTTTAATCACAGTGTAAATGCAAGTATAATTTTTGCCTTTTACATCTTTATCACTGTTCCTGTTGCAAAAGGTACGCAGATATGCCAAAGAATCACATACAATCTCCCTTTTATCTTATTTTTCTGCTTATTTCCTTATTTTTTTTCAAGTGAGAATAGCAAAGAAAAGTTATTGTGTTCTGGTCAAGTAATAACTGTGGTCTGTATTCCAATGAGCCACATTTCCCTGTGCTCTTCACCATAACTCTCTGGACACCACATCTGCCACTATTTTATGATCTATAGCAGGATTTCTCAGTTTTTAATCACATTCTCTGCTTTGGTAAACATAAAAATCTTACCATAAGCAGATTTCTGAACTGTCTCCAGCCCCTCCAGTCTATTGTACTGTCTATTCCTCTTCAGAATCATTGTTTCATTGATTTTTCCATGGCTTGGATTACTTTTGAACTTTATTTCAAATTTTATAGACATCAAGATTTTTCCCAAATGTAGTATTATAATTTTGAAAATAGTTTTTAAACCAAACAATCCACATCCAAAAACTTAAGAGCTGCACAGTACCGTTGTGTACAAATATTAAGACCCTTAATCAATGGCTACCACTGTCCTCGTGGTTTTATTTATTTACAGTTTTCATTTAAAAAGCAGCCTGTATGCTTCAGAGTGAGTTTGTATCTGGATTATTAAATTCTAGTCTGGATATAATTGGTGCAAGCTCAGTTATAAATATATATAAAAACTAATCTGTAACTTCGTTGATCAAAAATTCAGTGAAACAGAGTGAAGTAAACCAGTTTATTTCTTAAGAAAATCCACCTACTCACAGTAGACTGATTTTAAACAAGGAATGGGTCTCTATGGTATTTACATAAAGCACTAGCCCCTGCCTTGTACAGATGATGCATAAGATACTAAAACCAGCAGAGGTAGTGGTGCTTCTGTATGAATATCAGCAGCAAACAGTCTTAAACAAAAGGTAAGGAAAAGACTTTTGCAGAGGTTAGTTTTAGCAGATGATGGTGAGTCTGCATCTTAAGGGCTGTGTAATCCTTCTGTGTACAAATACTAGACCCTTAATTGGTGGCTAACACTGTCCCCATGCAGGAACTTCAGTGACAACTAGTTCACCATCTTTAGCTCCCCAAATTCATATCTCCAATCCCTCTCCTTTAGAAATAAATTTCACTTCTAACGCTACTAACTGGTTGTTTTCTAAAATTTGGGAAACACCATTAAACTTAAGAAATCAAATCAACATGACACATTACAGATACAGAATTGCTTTCTAGAAAACATCTCCAAGTCTACATTGCCTTCAGCAGAGTATCTGTCTCAAGTCACTAGTGTACACATTGTATCCCTGCTAATTTGACAAATGAGTAAGTGCTATAACTCTAGCAATTACTAATGATCACCTACATAGTTATATTCAGCCTTAGTGTTGTTTTCAAAGTTTAAAGTTTAGTTCTGTTAGAATTTTAATAGAATTAACTTTAAAGCTAAAAATGAATAATCACCCTTACCTGTATGAGCAGCTTATGCCAATTAAGGTTCTATTGTTCAAAGTAGGGATGCAAGTTTCAGACTGAAAATTCTCTGATCGTCAGTCTTCCAGTGTCCTTAGTCAACATAAATGGATTCTTGTATGATGCCAGCTACAGTGGGGGGAAAGGAAACTAAATAGGGTATTGATGAAATCCAGTAGTTATGGCTAATGTAACTATCTCCTCAAAAAAACAACCCTCATTTCTCTATTTCAGCAGTGAGAGGAAGTTTGTGGACAGTATATACATATATTGACTTCCTTATTATTTCATGAACTAGTTACACCCCATTTAACTTTATTATCATGATTGGCTGAAATTCAAAGTTTTTAAGCCCCCATAAGCTAGTTTAATATGACATCATGATAGATGGCACCACACTACAGTGCCCCAGTAAAATACTGGTACAAATTTATCTGTAAACTTATCTATAAAATTATAATGTGGGTGATTTGTTTGCAATTCATGTTCATCAAGAATAGAAGGAGAGGGGCTAGAGAGATAACTCAGCAGAATAAGTGCTTGCCTGGCAAGGGCCTGAGTTCAATGACCGGTTCTGCAAAGAGAGAGAGAGAGAGAGAGAGATGAAGCTCAAAGCTTTCTTACAGTAGCATTCTGGAATCAGCTATTGATAGAACTACATTAGAGCTTCATGATCATCTATGGGTTGAGATTCTTTGTTTTAAGGTTAAAGAACCTGAGGCCCAGAGAAGCCAAAAATCACACTGGTTTTGGTCCCAATTTTGTTACTAATGAACTAACTCACTCTTCTAAATGCCCTGTGTTGCATCCATTCATATTCAGTGTAGTACATTATTTGGAACATTTTGGTAATAGATTTGGAAAATCCTGTGAAGTACCAAATATGCCTCAGATCAAATGAAGTTATAATATAATGAACTGTGAAAGCGCTTTTAGGAATAAGATTATTTAGTCAATCTGAACTACCAACTAAATGAAAGCTAAATGTGTGCAGCTGGGGAGCCAGACTGCCTCAAGCACCCTTCCTTGGGTAGTTAAGCCAGAGGAATCTGAAAGAGAACAGAAATCTAATTTCATCAATCCTGAGCACTTCAGTTATCAGTAAATCTGCATTTAAAATTAATAGGAGTCTTTGCTTTTTCTCATAACCTCAATGCTTATCATATTTTCTATTGATTGCACAAATTCTCCCTGATGTTTGCTAGTATTTTTCTCTAAAACAAAAATGAGAACTCCACATGGAGAATATTGTTCTGCTGCTGTGCATCTTTGCAATATTTGCCATCATCTAATTAAGAACAGCGACTCAGGGTTACGTGGCAATTGATTGCAGAATAATTTGGCTTTAGAATTCCTTCATTTTTATTTCAACAGTTTGTCATGTTCCAGGAAAAAATTACTTAGAACAAAAAATAATTGGGTGCTGGGGATGTGGCTCAGTGGTAGAGCACTTGCCTGGCAGGCATGAGTTCTCAGTTGGATCTCCAAGACTATAAAACAGTTTCAGATAATTTAGAGAAAAAAAAGAATGAAAACAGAATCTAGTTTATAAGTTATTGAAAGATGGTTATCATGTTATCTGTTTGGGCTTAAGCACCTATGGTCCAAAAGCAGAATTTCCTTGCTTTCCTCCATTGTCCCCTGTTCAGTAAATAATACATGCTATCTAGGGCTTGCCCTTGATTCCTCTTTCCTTCGCATCTCATATCCACTCAGCTGTGGCTGCTACAGTTTCTACTCGCACTACCACTCTTTAGCCATAGTTCATGAGAACTTCGTATGTGCCAGACTTTCTACTATCTGCTTTACATGCAAGTCCTAGACCTCAATGCACTGAAAAATAAATCTCTTTGTTTCAAAACTGAAGCTCAGAAAGTTTGTATAAGTTTCCCAAGGCCACACAGCTGTCTGTCCGCTCAGCACTGGTGACTAGTTCCTGTCAGAGCAAGTAATTCAATAGGGCAAGCCTTTATTTTTTTTCTTTTTTGTCTGGTTTCTAAAGTCAACATTGTCACCTCTACAGTATTTTGTTGGTCACACAAAGCTACCTTTGATTGAGTGAGGGTTAAATATCAGGAAATGATGATCACTGGGAGCTATTTTAGAAACCAGCTACCATAATTGTTAAGCAATCATTGAACCAAAGCGTCAGAACCACTGTCGGACCATTTATGGGACAAGAATGACTGGATTGGTTTAAGTTTTGCCAATTCTTAAGCTGCTTTAACTTTTGTACTCTGTATTTTTTCTTAAACAGGGCAGTTCACTCAGCAAATATTTGCTGGAGCTTATACTGTGTTTCTAGTGGCATGTGGAGGTCATAGAAGTACTGTGTTAGCCATGAACTAAATTAAGGTTTCTGGAAATACAAGAGAGATTCAAAGAATTTACATTAGTATGTGTGACATAGTCTTCACATGCTGTATGAATTAGAAAAGGGAGGAAGCAGTCGAAGTGGCTCTGAAAGGCTTTGTGAAAACAACTGATGGGAAAGAGAAGACAATGAGTAGTGAGCAATAATTCTGTGCCAAGTTGTTTGCATATGAGAACCCTGGAAGTGACTGGCAGAAATTGAAGCTTAAAGAGGTTGAGCAGCATACTCAAGGTGACACAGCTGGTAAATTATATTTGAAGCAACCATTTTCTCTGCTGTAGAAGGCAGAAATTATTGGGTTTTCTTACAGATCAATAAGGATACCTCATGATACTCATGAGAAATAAACCAGGTCCAGCCTTGAGTACTTGTAACTTCAGGCAAGGTTTCTTTCTCTCAACTCTAAGGTAGCAGAAATTAACTATAGAAGAAATCAAGGTTAACTTTTTTTCTTTTTGTGAACTCTGGGCTTCATTAAGCTAATTTTTCTTCCAGAAATATCAGTGTAACTTCATGATTTAAGTGACTTTCAGTTTTCTAATTGAAATATAAAATATTCTATTATATGTTTCTTTTAAAAAATGGGGAAATAGGGGCTGGGGAGATGGCTCAGTAGAATAAGTGCTTCCCTGGCAAGTGCAAGGGTCTGAGTTCAATCCCCAGTTCCGCCCAAAAAAATAAAAATAAATAAATAAATAAAAATGGGTAAATATTGTTGAAACTGTTAGAAAAGAAGTATCAGAAAATATTAGATTCGCAAAAGTATTACTTGCTAAGCAAACACTTTAAGAATAACAAAATGTGTTGCAAGTTCTTTGTCACAAGTGGCCCCTCTGGACTTTCCTTACTTAGGTCACCAAGAGTTTTCTTTGGTTAATAATTTTTTCCATCCTTCTCCTCTTCAAAGTTCTGCTTCTGTTGTCCAGTTCAAAGGCTCTTGCTTAACAGTTCTAATGACTTCCTATATCACCTGTCTGTCGCTCATATCTTAAGTGTTCCACCCTGACCTTTACAATTCAAATACTGTCTTGTACTAAGTTTCCTTGAAACTTGTGTAAGTAGAAAGCACATTTTTAAATCTGGCCCTAGAATTCCACTGGAGTTGTTCAGTGATAGTGGGTGAAAGAGCAGGCATGTGGTCATTCATTTAAGCACTTCATAGTGAGTTGTATATGGCAGGAAAATATGGGAACTTTCTTGACTTACCTGAATTCTTCTTTTTTTCCAAGATAAGCCACAACAAGTTTTACTGTGTTCAAACCTTAAACTGCACACATTTAAAAATATTGAAATTATAAAAAGTTTCTCTTATGACAAAATGGAATAAAATTATAAATCAGTAATGAAAGGAAAGCTGAAAAAGTTACACATGCAGAAATTAATTCATTTCCAAACAACCAGTTAGTCAAAGAAGAAATCACAAGGGAAATTAGGAAATACGTTGATATAAATGGAATCTTACCTGAATTCTTGGGGTTAGAATTAGGTACCTTATCAATTTTTCTCAGATTGAAGCCAACAGATTCAGGATAGATTAGTCATACCTGAACTTATGCGCTTCACCTAGAAAGTTATTTTAGGCTATCGAAGCTAGTGTCTAAACTGGCTGCAATTGGCCTTTTAAATATTTTGTCTGACTAATCAGGAGTTCAGGACATCGATGCAGAAAGAGAAGCCTAATTTTATCCACATTAGGACATCACATTCTAAAGATAATGATTTCTCAAAAAGAGAGGCAGTGGTAAGCCTCATCCGTTCATTGCACACCCAAGTCCACTGTTACCCTTAGGAGGGGTGAAGCACAGCTCTCTTACTCAAAGCTGTGGTTTGTTTGAGCCTCACTTAGCCCCCTGCTCTCTTCAGGATGTGGTGTCTGGCCACAAGCCTGTTTCCAGTTGCACTGTTCTCAGGCCCTTGCCTCCTGCTACAAGCTGCTCTAAACACCCCTTCACCAGGGTGCCTAAAAGGAGCTCTCCTCGCTTGTAAGAGCTGATTTCTCAGTAAACAGTGGGAGTATTTATCTCAAGAACTGCTAAAAAATAATAAGAATAAGAATACAGTCCAGGGGGCCGGGGAGATGGCTCAGTGGAATAAGTGCTTCCCTGGCAAGCACAAGGGCCTGAGTTCAAGCCCCGGTTCCACCAAAAAAAAAAAAAAAGAAAGAAAGAAAGAAAGAAAGAAAAAAAATACAGTCCAAAACTTTCACATTTATAATAGCAAAGAAAAAGTGCATGTTAGTGTGGTAAGGAACACTAATGACAAAACCTAAGTGGTCCTGATGATCCAAGTTTCACTTTTCTTCAACTTTAGCTTTTGTCTCTTCATATAGCACTTACATGCCCTCCTAAGAGATTATCTTTTACCAATGTACTATAGCAATGGCAGTGGCAGTGGCAATCACAAGGATTAGGATCGCCTCAGGTGGCAGTTGGAAAGCAGCTGAAAAATAAGCCGGTTTACAGAAGGGAAGAAACTTAAACAATCATGCTTCAGAACCAATCATTCTTTTTTGAAAAGCCAAAAATAAAAAATTCTGAAAATGAAGCATTTGATAGATTCTAAAAATAATTTGTTCTACTGTATTGCTGCCATACAAAATACACACACACACACACGGGATCTCAATTCCAAGAAACAGCCACTTGCATTGTAATGAGATTGATTGAGTAATTAAAAAGACATAAGATATCACTGTCCGGAATTATCACTGATCCGTAGTCCACTGACTCTCTCCAAGACCAAGGTTTCCTGGATATT